AGACAGCTGAATGACCCAGGAAAAACAATCCAGAATTGCACATTCAGATAATCGATCACTCCAGAACACAGATATTGAAAGGCACACAAAAACTGAGATTACCACCAAGACATGCTCACTAATGGAACATCTAAAAAAAATTCCTCTCAGGAAGTAGGAACATCATCACAGAATCAAGTTTTGATGTATAAGAAGGCATGGTGAGCACATTAAATCTATACAGATAAGAACGACAAATACACAACAATAACAATTTGAAGGAGGCTAAGAAATGAGAACGACATATACAAGAACAGGCACTAAAAGGTTAATGGTTGGCTTGAGTAGTAGGTGCAAGATTTCAGCTATTACTTTCTTCTTCACGCTTTTATTGTCTGATTTAAAAAAATAAAAATAAACCTATTATTTTTTTTTTTTACCAAGCTTTAAATTTTTAATTAGAATGAAACAGAAACAAAATCAAACATCAAATTTTCAAATTCCCACAACAGCAACCTACCAGTGCTAATGTTAAATTTCCCTTAAAAACCTTAAAGATTAATTTGAAAGGACATCAAAAACTAGGTTTACTTATTCACTTCACAAGGATTCACTAAAGGTTTGCTATTTGCTAGGCACTACACTACACCCTGCATTAATAGGATGAGAACAAAATAATGGAAGTCATCATGGATTTATGGCTTCTCTTACAAAATACCTTTTGTGGAAAGCCACAAGTCTATGTAAAGTGAAGTTACTCTTCTGGTAAGGAACATTACTGTAAAAGACAAAAAGGCAATAGTTACGGCAATCTAGTTTGGCCTATGGTTCTTTTGTTTGAAAATGTATGCACAAATATGCCCAATTTTACACATGAAATTAATTCAGTGTCAATGATGTATCCTCACATTAATTTAATTGCCAACCTTGCAGTCTGTCTATGATTTCCATCCCACGTTAAAATAAGAAAGCTGCGGTTCTGAGTTGAGTTCCTAGGCAGCACAGTTTTAAGTCACATTGTATTGGATGATCCCCTACCTTATTTCACAAGTTTCAAAAACTCAGAGCCCCTTATTTACTATTTGTCAATCGCTCACTTCTGTGCAAAGTATCTACTTGGCCAAACATTGTGATCTGACTTAAAACAGGATAAGGGCAGCCTGTAAAAGGCCAGTTCCCCCACTTTGTACTAAACATTTCTAGGGGGCGTCTTTTTTTTCTCATTTTTTTATTAAGGTTATTATATGTGTGCATATCTTACCAATGCCACCACCCCCCCATACATGCCCTCCCTCCCCCTCTTGATTAAAAACAAAGCTTGTATGTGGCATAAAAGGCCTGGCGAAATCAGTATCTCAAGCAATGTGAATAGGAACCATTGGACGCTGACCTTCCTGGACATGTGGAAGTGGTTAACACAGTAACTGGCAGGAGCAGGGGGCACAGGGACTCTGTGTGATGAAGAGAAGCCACAGTAGAAACTCTAGCCACTCAAGGGCAAGAAAAGAAATTGATCCCCCTTGGCTAGCCCTCCTTTCCAGGGAGAGCACCAAACAAAAGAAGAGCTGGTTTGGCTCTTGGATGGAGCATCGGCCTGTGGACTGAAGGGTTCCAGGTTCGATTCGGGTCAAGGGCACATGCCCGGGTTGCAGGCTCAGTCCTCAGTGTAGGGCCTGCAGGAAGCACCAATCAATGATTCTCTCTCATCATTGATGTTTATATCTCTCTCTCTCTCTCTCCCTCTATGAAATAAAAATATTAAAAAAAAAAAAAAAAAAGGAGAAGGAGGAGGAAGGGGAAGAGGAGGGGGAGGAGGAGAAGGTGGAGAAGGAGGAGGGGGAGGGGGAGGGGGAGGGGGAGGGGGAGGAGGTGGAGAAGGAGGAGGAGGAGGAGGAGGAGGAGGAGGAGGGAAGGAAGGAAGGAAGGAAGGAAGGAAGGAAGGAAGGAAGGAAGGAAGGAAGGAAGGAGGGAGGGAGGGAGGAAAGAAGGAAGAAGAAGAAGAAGGAGGAGGAGGAGGAGGAGGAGGAGGAGGAGGGGGAAGGAAGGAAGGAAGGAAGGAAGGAGGAAGAAGGAAGAAGGAAGAGGAGGAGGAGGAGGAGGAGGAGGAGGAGGAGGGGGGGGAAATACAGACAGCACAGGAATCTGCAAGCCCACCACCACACCTCCCAGGCTGTGGTCACCAACACCTGGGCTACCTGTGCACCTACAGTAGAAAGCACCAAGCGATGTGTTTGGGTTTCTATGGGCCCCTCTCTTATCTGCAGCATCTTCCTTCAGAGGGGAAAGTGCTTTCCTCAGAATACCAGGCAGTTCTCAGCAATGAGCAAGGCCGGTTACAACAGGTGTGTTTTGAATGCTGTCAAAGCACTTCACCAGGTACCCATGAATCCATAAAACTTCCCTCATCCCCTGGAAAAGTCACTATGCCACCTTTCCTAAAGAGAGCTCAGCGTGCAGACACAGGCTCTTGTCTGGTCCCCAGTGTTCTCTACTCAAGAATGGAAAAAGGTTTCTCTTTTGATTTTACCCTCCTCATAAATACGTATCCTTTTCCAGATGAATTAAACTCCTATGTTCAATGAATGTTAGAGGATAAATTCCACTTTTTTTTGGGGGGGGGGGGCGGGGGGGAATACACATTTCAATATTCCTTTTAATTCTTATATTTAAAAAAAAAAAAAAAAGACATTTCCCTGAACAGTTTCTTTCATGAAAAGAAAAACAAAAACACTTATAAAATCACTGCCATAAACCAGAAGAAAAATGTCTAGGATAGGTTTTTCAATCTCCTTTTGGTAAATCTGACAACAGAGCAGTGTTAATATCTTATCCACAGAGGAATTAAATCCATGTATACATTTCAGGAAGAGACACTCTCCCTTGGAAAAGGGCATTATAAACCTAACGCCAGAATTCCTACAGAGACAGAACTCCTAAATGAAAAACCACACCTCGCTCACAGGGGGGCTTGCTATAGAAACTGTGACCCTAGGGGGCACAGCTACACCGTCACCAAGTATTTCAAGTTTCCCATCCTCATAAAAGAAACAAGAGAAAGGCGGTGTGGCTCAATGGTTGAGCATCAGCCCATGAACCAGGAGATCGCTGGTTTGACTCCAGGTCAGGGCACGTGCCTGGAATGTGGGCTCAATCCCCAGGAGGGGGTGATGATTCTCTCTCATCATTGATGTTCGTCTCTCTCTCCCTCTCCCTTCCTCTCGGAACTCAATAAAAATTGGGATAGTAAAAAAAGAAAGAAAACAAGAGAGTCTAGGAAGAACTGGGCTGGAAAGGCCTCCCCCCCTCCCCCAACATTTCACTCACCTCGCCTGCCACTGGCCAATAACGTGTCTATTTATTTTTCCCAGGAGCAGATCTATTAGCCAGACATTCTAAAAACACAAACATTTCGTTGTGCTTGGAGTAACTCCAATATCGGTGCCTTGCTGCAGAACGATGCTGCAGGAATATAAAGTGAGCCACGTGCATGATGAACCCAGAGAGGCAGTGCATGGTCACACACTGTCATCCCCAGAAGAACCATTTGGAAAGGAGGGTACACCCCAGCGGGGCGGGGGGGGAAAGGCTGTGGGATGAGGGGAGGAAGCCAAAGACAGGAGACTTCAGGAGGTCCCACCAGATCCAAACAAGGAGGGCACATTTTAAGGCGACTCCCCCAAAGCTCTCAGGGCTAAAAAGGCCTTTTTCTACCTCCTCTCCTGTAGAGGCTGAACAAGAAAAGCAAAGACAAGGCTGGAGGGTTCTGAAGTGGGCTTGGCAAGCCACCACGTGCAAAGCACATTGAGCATAGCCCAAAGCTGGGCCCGGGGGAAGGCACAGCCCGCGTGGAAGAGGTGGGGGTCCCCAAAAGCCATGGCTCTGAGGGAACGAGGAAACAGGCAGGGACAGGCTGAACTAGCCAAACCTGGGAAACTAACAAGACAGACATTAACAGCAATCATAAAACGAAACAGCCAGAGGCCACCGCGGCTCCGAGACCGCTAAACTGTTCCAGATGAGACTCAATCGCTCCACATCTCAAGGGGCTGATCTGATACCAGGGTCCTCGTTTCTTTGTGAGGCCCACCTCTCTTCTTCTTTTTTTTGGGGGGGGTGGGGGGGGGACCCTGCACAGACACACACACCCCCAACAGCCGCTGTACTCCAACAAAACCCAGACTCATTATGGTGAACTCATTTTTCCCCCTCCTCACATAAAACAGACACACACACACACACACACACACACACACACACACTGAAGGGTCTGGCCAGATCCTACAGCTAAAGTTTCCGGAACTTAAATCTTAAAAAAACCACAATCAGAAGTCGTTTTGAAACGCTCACCACAAAAATCTGTGTCCTTGGCTTTAAAAAAAAAAAGAAAGAAAGAAAGAAAAAGAAAAAGAAAAAGCATCTTGTTCTCCATAAAGGCAGGAGGTAGAGAGACAACCTCTAACTTAGGCGGTGGGTGTGTTCCTCTTTGTCACCCACCGAGGTGCTCGCGCCGCGCGTGGGGGAGCTGTGAGCTGCGGGCACCGGGCGGCGCGGCGGCGGCGGCCACCTCCCCGGCCCCGCGATCGGCTCCGGGGCCGAGATTGCGGCCGGAGGTCCGGAGGCGGCGGCGGCCGGCGCTGTCAGGGCGCCGGTGGGATGGGACGCAGAGGGTAGGGGGTGGGGAAGGGGGAGAAGGGCGCCGCCGGGTGGAGGCGGCGGGAGGAGACGCGCCGGACCCGGCGGGCTGAGCGCGCGGAGGTGATCGCGGTGCAAAGGGCAGCGCGGCGCCCGGAGGCCCGGGCTCTGCTATTGTTGCGGGGGGACTGCGCTGGGCCCGCGGGCGCCTCTCCCCCGCCTGGGGAAGCCTTGGTCCCACGCTCCGCCCGCCTCCTGGCGAAGGACCCTGCGGGCCACGCTCCCACCTCCGCCCGCGCCCCCGGGGGGTCGGGGTCCAGGCGCCCGGACTCGCACAAGTTGCCGCCCGCCCGCCCCTCCGCGGTCATTGTTCGCCGCGCGCCTCCTACCTCCCGGCGCCGGCGGCTCTGGCTCCCGCTCCTCCGGGCTCCGGGCTCCCGGCCCGCGGTGCAGAGGGCGCGGCGGCTCCGGGCTGTGCGGGCGGCGGGCGCTCGGCTGTGAATCCCCGCGGGCGGCGGCGGCGGCGGCGGCGGGAGCGCGCGCTCAGGGCTGGCGGCGGCCGGCCGAGGTCCGAGCCATCAAAGGCGACGCGGGGCGGAGGGGAGGGCGGAGCAGGCAGGGTGGGTGGGGAGCGTGCTCAGGGTCGCCATGGCCTCCTCGACGCCGGGCCGAACGCCGCTCGGGCTAAGGAAGAGCGGTTCCCAAGCGGGCGGCGGCCGCGTCCCCGCCCCGCGCCCCAGCCGTGCGCCCGCAGCCCTGCGCCCTGCGCCCGCGCGGGTCCCGCCGCCTCCGAGGCCGGCGAGCGGGAAGTGAAGGCGGTCGCGCCCCTCCCCGGACCTGGGCCGGCCCCTCGGGAAGCGGGGGAAGCGGGGGAAGCCGTGCAGCCCGAGCCGAGCCGCGGGGACCGGGAGGGAGAGCCACAGCCCCCTCCAGCGTTCAGCCGGCGCCCTGCGCCCCGCACGCCCCGCCCCGCTCGGCCCGGGGGCAGGTGCGCCCGCGGCCGGGAACGCCCTCCCTGACCCGGACGCGCACACCTCTGGTCCCTGCCTTACTGGGTCCCGTGGCCGGAGAGCCCGTGTCTCCACCGGGGACACGCCGGTCCGGCTGCTGTGGCTGAGGATGATAGAAGGAGAGGGATGCGCGGGGACAAAACCAGGAGCAGCTGGAGGGCGAGCAGCAGCGCGGGCTCTGCAGGGCACTTGTTGAGGACCTGCAAGGGGGCGGTGGCACCGCTCGTGTGCCCACCTGAGACTTGACGATGTGGCGCAGGGTGCGGCGCTTTGCAGGCACCCACCAGGGACCTTGAACCACCAAGGGGCAGTTGCGATCTCCCCCTCCCCCCCCTGGGAGGGCGCAGCGTCCTCTACCCAGGTGAATCCCAGAAACACACACACACACACACTCTCGCCCCCTCTGGGGGAAAGGCGTGGGATATTTTAGAAGCTGGTTTGCAGATTCTGGTTCGCCTTCAGGGTTTCTGGAAGTTGACAAAGGAGGGAGCAAGATTCGGGACCGAGGAGACACGACCTAAAAGGGGACAGGTCACTGCCCCACCCCAGCTGGGAGCTGCCGCCTTACCATCCCCCCTTCCTGTGTCCCACGTCTCACTTGTGCTTGCTGTCTTTGTGGATCTTCTATTGAGGAGGGGAAAAGGTCTGAGGGCAGCAGGCTAGAAAGGAAAGCAATCCTCTGCTAGATCCCCAAGCTAGTGGGCATCTGCTGCTGAAGGCCCTGGCTCCAGAACCCTGCTCGTTTTTGCAACAAGAGGAATTCAGTAGCCTCAAGCCTGGAGGGTGGATTTCATGGGCAAGGTCCCAGCTGAACCCTCAATGACAAGGAGCAGGGCAGTGCCTCCTTGAGGAAGAGTGGCTGACACAGAACAGCTCAGTAGAAGTAGGGGTGTTTGTACATAGCTGGTGTGAGTGGTTTCTGGAGAGGAGCAGAGACATATTTTGAGGATGAGGTACTGAACTGTATTTGAAAAAAAAACAAAAACAAAATCTGCCTGCGTCTTTGGTAAAGGTGGAAGTGAAGAGGGCCATAGAGGCCTCAACCCTGGGAAGAAGCAGCAGGTTGGTAGGTTGTGGTTGAAGAGAAACAGAGTGGTCCAGCCTTGGCTCTGATCTAACCTGTTGTGTGACTCTAGAGTAGGGGTGTCGAACTCAATCAGAGAAGGGGCCAAAATCTAAAATCCAGCCTAAATCGCGGGCCGAATGGTTTACTGGACAGTCATAAACTGTCATTGTGATGGAAACGCAGCAGAGTGCAGTGATGACAGCGTGGTGCGGGCCACATTGCAAGGCCTGGCGGGACGGATTTGGCCCGCGGGCCTTGTGTTTGACACATGTGCTCTAGAGACTAACATGGATCAGAGGTTTTAGGTCCAGTGGTTCCCTCAGGATGGTCCTCAGACCTGCAGCAGCACCTGGACATTAAGAAGTGCATGGGCCCCACTTTAGACCTACCTTCTCAGAGTCTCCAAACCTGTGTGCGGTAGAATCACTGGGAAGGCTAATTTCAACCGTCTTGTCAGATCTGAAATGGGGCCTGAGAATTTGCTCTCCTAACAGGTTCTTTGATAGTGCTGGGCCTACACTTTGAAAACCATTGTACGGACTATCTTAAATTCATAGAATCACTTAAGATTTTTTAAAAAATATATTTTATTGATTTTTTTACAGAGAGGAAAAGAGAGGGACAGAGAGTCAGAAACATCGATGAAAGAGAGTCATCGATCAGCTGCCTCTTGCACACCCCTTACTGGGGATGGGCCTGCAACCAAGGTACATGTCCTTGATCAGAATCGAACCCGGGACCTTTCAGTCCCAAGGCTGATGCTCTATCCACTGAGCCAAACCGGTTTCGGTTCACCTAAGATTTTTAAAAACCTGAATGCCCTAGCCAAATATAGGATATCCCCCCAAAAAAAATGTATACACACATTTTCAATAATTATAAAGGCAGTATTTATTAAAATACATTTCCATTTTCAAAACGGAGTTATCAGCTGTTAAAGTGGGCATACATTTTTCTTGGGGGTCGAGGGAAGAGAGAGACCATGCATGTCAGTATTTCTGGGGCTGGGATCCAAGCGTCAGTGTTTTTAAAGTGCTTCGGGTGATTTCATTGTGCAGCCAGCTTTGAGAACAATTGTTGTAGACAGAGCTTTTTATTTATTTATTTTTTAAATAAATTTTTATGTTTTAAATATATTTTATTGATTTTTTTTACAGAGAGGAAGGGAGAGAGATAGCGAGCTAGAAACGTCGATGAGAGAGAATCATCAATCAGCTGCCTCTTGCACACCCCCCACTAGGTATGTGCCCGCAACCAAGGTACATGCCCTTGACCGGAATCGAACCTGGGATCTTTCAGTCCGCAGGGCGACGCTCTATCCACTGAGCCAAACCGGTTTCAGCATATTACCAGTATTTTTTGAGGGAAAGTGACTTTTTGTTTGGTTTTTATTTATTTATTTTAAAATCCTTATTGTTGCCCTAGCTTAGTGGTCAGCAAACTGCGGCTTATGAGCCACATGCGGCTCTTTGGCCCCTTGAGTGTTCTAATGCCACTTCTTCAAAATAGACTCGCCCAGGCAGAAAACCGACTTCTGCCCATGGGCCACGAAGTTTCAATCGCACTGTACATGTGTGCCCGCACATGGTATTTTGTGGAAGAGCCACACTCAAGGGGCCAAAGAGCTGTGTGTGGCTCTCGAGCCACAGTTTGCCAATTACTGCCCTAGCTGGTTTTGCTCAGTGGATAGAGCATTGGCCTGATGACTGAAGGGTCCCCAGTTTAATTCCAGTCACAGGTACATGCCCAGGTTTTGGGCTCAATTCCTAGGGTGGGACATGCAAAAAGCAGCCAATCAATGGTTCTCTATCACCATTGATGTTTCTGTCTCTCCCTCTCCTTCTCTGAAATCAATAAAAATATATTTATAAATAAATAAATAGATAAATATACAAATGCAAAGAAACTCAATGTTATTTTTTTTAATCTTTTTATTGTTGAAAGTATTACACGTGTCCCCTTCTTTTCCTCATTGGCCTCATCTACTGGCCTCCCACCCCTGTCCCAGGCCTTCACCTCAGTACTGTCTGTGTCCACGGGATCTAATGGATCTCTTCCACCCCCACACACACCCCTGCCTGAGGGAAGGTGACTTAAAGGAGGTGATCCAAGAGGGTTTGCAGGCTGAGGGCCGGAGCCTGTGGGGAAAGAGTTAATGTAGGAGAAAAGAGGGGAGGCTTGGGGGCTCCAGCTGAGAGAGGCTGGAGTACCCCCAACCCCAGTTTCCTTCCAGTTCTCACGAACATTCTGTGCTTTGTACTTAAACTAATTGGAAGCACTTTTTAAATTCTTCTAACTGAAAAGCCAGGGGTAACTGGCCTAGAAAATCTGCAACCTGGACATTCAAACCCTGAATAATTAAGGCGTTCCCTCATCATTTTGTGTCATTTATGCCTAACTTTCAAGCTATAAAATTTATATTACCTTGATATTTTTTTCAATATATTTTTATTGATTTTTTACAGAGAGGAAGGGAGAGAGATAGAAAGCTAGAAACATTGATGAGAGAGAAACATCGACCAGCTGCCTCTTGCACACCCCCTACTGGGGATGTGCCCGCAACCAATGTACATGCCCTTGACTGGAATTGAACCTGGGACCTTTCAGTCTGCAGACCAACACTCTACCACTGAGCCAAACCGGTTTCGGCTACCTTGATTTTTTAACCCCATTTTACAGATGAGGAAACTGAGGCCCAGAGAAGTTAAGTAATTTACCCAAGGTTATATAGCAAGTAATGGTAGAAAAGGGCTTCAAACTCAAGTAGTAAGGCTTCAGAGGCCATGCTCTTAGCCACAATGCTCTAGAGTCCTAAATCTAGGACAACTGGAGAAAAGTATTAAAAAATATACTTCTTTTAGGATAGAAAATAGAATAGGATAAAAGTAAGAACTTTGGGTCTTTTTTTTTTTTTTCACTTTCCTTTCAAAAGGGGAAATTTAGGAGGAAACCAGCGGAAGGTCAAAGACTGCAGTCCTTTTGAATCTGGCCTGTGATCTTACCTTTCGATTCTCAGAGATTGAAAGGGTACATAAGGGGAAAGTATATCCATGTTGATGGTCACTTGAAGCATTTATATTGTTCAAAAATGTGTTGAGAATTGAAATAGGAATGGGGGGGGAGGTGAGTATTACATGTGTGTATGTCTGTCTCCATAATCAGAACAGCAAACCCCTTTGGGTTATTGACTTCATGTATGATGGCCAATGCAAAATCACTCTAATGCTTAGAAATCTGTAATAAGAGTTTCATAGTTTTTCATAATTATCCCCTTTAATATATATATATATATATATATATATATATATATATATATATATATTGATTTCAGAGAGGAAGGTAGAGGGAAAGATGGATAGAAACATCAATGATGCAAGAGAATCATTGCTTGGCCAATTCCTGCAGGGTCAACCTGCAACAGGGCATGTGCCCTGACCGGGAATCAAACTGTGACCTCCTGCTTCATAGGTCAACACTCAACCACTTGAGCCATGCCAGCTTAAATTGAACTTGAACACATTTTAAGACAAAGAAAAGTTCTTCCTGTCCTACACTCCAACAATTCCTGCTGAAAATCTATAAACTAAAGCATGTTGCAGGGTTGTCAAAGGATAAAGTAAAGAAATCAACTGCGTACTTGCCCCTCCCTAGATAGGATGTACAGCTGGTCCCCACAGATGCCTGCAACTCCAAACTTACTCTTCCCTCAACATAGCAAAGGGCAACCAGCCAATCCTCCTAAAACCCCCAATTCCCACCGAGTCTGTGGGGAATTTTTCTTTTATGAACTGGGCTTTAGAAGCATTTTTATCCTCCTGCAGGGGATCAAGGC